TGTCATGAATCAATCATTTTGACAGTGACAGTTATGTCAATCTTTCTTGAAATTAAATATAAACTTAATTGAGATAAATCTAGGTTTGGCATTGTCTATTGAAAGCCAGAAAAGTGTTTATTCTGTGTTAATGTTTATGAGTTAATACCCCCCTATGAATTTTGATAGTCAAAAATATAAATTCATTAAATTGTGTTCTCAATGCAGAATTCATAACATCTCGGTGCAGAATTCATATATCTATTATCATTGTGGAGTAATAAATATGCATTGTTTTCCTTTCACTTTCTGTCCATTATTGACAGCAAAAGATTTATCAAACTTTGATCTACATGTAGGGAAGTTTAGAATTACCTATGTTCATAGATTACTAGGTAGTTTTTGTCTCTTTCTCGAACTTTTGCTTAGTGTTTAGGCTTACATCCAAGTTTTATAAATCCTGTTCGATGATGTTTATGAAAATGATGATTCATAACAAAACATGCTCATGCCAAAGGTATACCTCTTGATGCCAAGAGTTAATTCCGATATAACCTTTTAACGTTTCTCCTTTATGTTTTCTTCTTCTTCTTCTTTTTTCTTCTCCTCCCCTTCTTTCCCCACCCTCCCCCCACTCTCTCTCTCTCTCTCTCTCTCTCTCTCTCTCTCTCTCAATTCCCCTCTCCTACCTCTCTTCCTCTATCTCTTTCACATTCAATCTACAATTATTATTTGGCTTGTCATCAACTGATGCATTTCTTACCTCCTCATAATGAGACATTAATATCAGTGAAAATCCAACATTTTTGACAAATGACATAATCTAGGGCATCAAAAAAAGTTTATCATGATAAATATCAGGCATGATGAATATATAATGTTCTCCTTCTTACCATCTCTTTCCTCTTCCGTCTATATGTCTCTTACCCCATCCCCCTCTCTCTCCCCACCCACTATGATATCCCCTACCCCCCTTTCTCTCTCTCTCTCTTTCTCTCTCCACCATCTGTGCATCCTCTCTGTCTCTGAATCTCTATCTATAGTTCTCTTCTGCTGCATCTGTCCCTCTTTTGCTCTTTCTCTCTCTCTCTCTCTCTCTCTCTCTCTCCCTCCCCGTTTTTCCATTTCGATGTATACCTTTACCTTTATTTCTAGGAGAAATCCTAGAGAAATTCTGCTCACATGTTGACATAGGAGAAAGCAAACAAGTCCTTGGCCTAAGCACTACACTAATCAAATTAAGCAGAATATACTGTTAGAATACTAGTCCACCATCCTCCACCATCCTCTTCCTCCTAGTACAACCATCATGTAGAACAACTTTCTTCCCTCCCATGTTTGCCATCAAACATCAACCCAAAATGAAAACATCACAATCTTTATCCAAGATGTTTAAGAGCTATAATGATGTACATGCATGTGACAAAAGATTTCCTGAAAGCAAGTTGACACATTTCTTTGAACAAAAACAAAGTATAGGATTTCATGGTGTCAAGCACTGACTTGGAGAGAGAGGGTGTATTCATCAAAGATATGCTACATGTGATAGCTTTGCCTTGGATATAGTGTAGCACATACTCTAGGAACATTGATTGTACAAGCTCTCATCTTTATCTTTACTTTGAAATAGTTTGAAGTTAGCTCCAAGTTAGTGCAAACACATCATTTTTTGGCATATGATTATTTTTTTATTTTTTTTATTTGACAAGATTTCAAGATTAATAAAAAAACTATGCTGTTTACGCAGGTTCTTCCTGTTCTTTGATTTCACTCTCTGAGTGTCATTCATATGATTTGAATTATCAGATATAACACGTTCAAAACTTCCTCAACCGAGTGCAAGTAGGATATTAGCTGTATGTTAATTGATAGGGTTATTCCCTTTTGGCTTTTGATATACAATATAAGAAGGTTGGTGATATACGGTATGAAAAAGATAATGACTTGACAGGATAGCATGTGAGGGTTGTTGAGCTTACTTAATGATAATTTATAATAATTTATCATATATTTAATTGCCATTGTGTCCAGTTATAACCCATAGAAACAGATAGATAAGAGTCAGATATAGCCATTATATCCTATATACTGACAGCACACAGCGAATGGGCATCAACTCATTTAAGACCCATCTGGTTCTCAATTGATTACTATCTTTGTTTTGCTCGTTTGATCAGTTGTGATGTCCTCATAATGACCCATCAAAACAAACAGACTAATTTGATGAGAGCCTGAAGGCCGTTCAGTTTGTATTCAGTGACATGACAGAATGCCGTTCTTGCCCTCAGCAAACCCATCATGTCCTGTAACGACCCATAAAGACAAAGCTATAATATTCATCTTATTTCATCAAATCCCTCGTGACATTTGCAAAATAGCTCAGGAGTACCTGGTAAGAGTCGCTATCCAATTATTCCTCTATCCGTGATTTGACAGAAATAAATCTATATTCATATTTGATATAGATTTTTGCATGCTGCGGGTGAGCTGTATTTTGGTCGACCCTGACTGAATATATTCATGCCTAATCAATATGCAATCTCAAGCGTTTCCACAAATCCCTTTTCCACAGCACAGCACAGCAACCGCTTGCCATGATCACTTCAAAGTAGAATCATGATTTGTTTAAAACAAATATAAAACTTTTTAGCATCATCTGGTCTTGGTGTAAGTAGACAATTAAAGGGAAATGTGACCTACTTGTTGATTTAATATATTTGTTTTAAGTAGGTCGTGTAAGACGCTCCTAACATCAGCTCCTACATTATATGCATTTCCTCCAATTTAGCAATGCATGAAAGGTTCATGGTGATAATTACTAAGCAATCTAAAAACATGATTACAAAGACTCAAGAAGTATACTCAAGGGTCAATTCAATACCCAGTTGTACTGTTGATAGAAACCATGTTTGGATTATGTAATATGTCATTGTAACATTTGTATATTTGAAATGGTGATGGACTTGGCTTTTGAAAGTGCCTTAGGTTGATTTTGTTTAATCTCTTTTATAATCATGTCCTACTAATGATAGTTATTCTTGATTTTATATTGATCTCATGTTTTTGGTAAGAACAAGATTTGTAAATGGTGTCATGAAGCAGTGTCTGACACATCAATATAGTGCCTTAAATATAAATGAATATAACAAAGTGACAGATACAGATAATTTTATTTAAACTGTTCTGTTATGCTGCTTTACATTGTCTTTTTAGACTGACGTTGATTGGTACTCTACTGCTACTTTCTTGGAGATCAACAGGTACAAGATTGTACAGGGACATTCCCTATTTTTCAAAATGTCATTGTGGTTAGTTAAAATGCAAAGCTTTAAAGAGGCATTATTCATGCCCATTATAATCTTCTTTAGAAGAATGTGAGAGAAAAACGATGGTGGTAATTTGTCATGAATGTTGAAAGTGCCACATATTTTTGATATTGCTGATGGACAATAGTATTTATATTGAAGCCCAATAATGCAATTAGTCTTGTTATTTGTCTATGATCATTACTGTTTGCTCATGAGATGAGATTGTTTACTGAGTGGCTTCCATCCAGTATGGCTTCAATCTGGAAACAATATGCATAAACTCCAAGCATGATAGCTAATTATCTGGCTATGATTAAATGAAGACTTGGCTTCATGAACAGACTTGTAAATCTCATTAACCAGTATACATCTTCACACCCTTGAATGATGGATGTCATATTAGTAAGTTAGAAGATCACTAAAGGGATTCATGGCACATAATACATTGATTGCCTGCATGAAGGCTGTATAAGAGCTATGTATGTCAGTGCCAGTAATGGCTTTCTTGTGGGGAAGCCAGTGATTATTGGAGTATAGACCATAAGAGTTCATTGTATTAATCCCTTTAGACCGCGGGCCATAGATCAAATATGTGGCTTATTTTTCATTTTCGTGCCTCAACTCTTGTATATACCTAAATTTTTGTTACTCAATAGAACAAAAATCATTGAATAACAATTGATAACTCGTCAGTGCAATAAGTTGCACATTAATTAATTATGCTAATTTAAAAAAGTTACAGCGCCCTCTTGTGTTCAAATCTTGAGATCTGTGTTGTGCTAATGGGTTCCACAGGATCTTATTGGACTTGGAGGTTTTGTTTCACCCAGGGAATAACACCCGAGTCTGTCTTGGAATGGTTGGTGTTATATTTTTCTTTATTTATAGGTTAAGTCCATCCTAACAAATATTTTAGTTTAAATAAAGTCAGAAAAATGAAAGGAAGACGACAGTGAAAGTTTTCAGCAAGTTTTGAAAGTAAGCAAGTTATCAATTTTTGAAGGTGTGATTAATGAAACACAACTCGACAACTCCACAATGTAACTTTTTTCTGCTTCTATTCAGGATGGACTTCCCCCTTTGATTAAACAAAAAAAAAAAACAATCTTGAAAATAAATAGAGATAAATAAAGAGAGAGATTAATAGAGAGGGGAGAGAAGTGGAAAAGAGGGGGGGGGGGGTCAGGAGATAATGGGGACTTTGGTAGACTGTAGTACTTTTATTTATGTATTTATTCATTTTTGTTTTTATTTGTTTGGGGGGGGGGGGGATATCAATGTGTGCACATGAGGATGCACATCTTTTAATGAGTATAATCATGGTTTCAATGCATTTTGACTAGCAGTATTCATCACTTACTACACAACTTGAACCATCCTTCGGTATCCCATCACAAATATAGCACCCCCCACACTTATACTGAAAACTTCACCCTCTCTCTCTCTCTGGCTGTATGTCTGCCCCCCCCCCCTCTCTCTCTCTCTCTCTCTCTCTCTCTATATATATATATACAGTGCATACACACACACACAAACAATCCAATAAATTAATTTACATTAAAACACAATTTGAACAGGTGTCAAGATAGATAAGCCAAAATTTCCATATTCAATCAATATTTTTAATCATCTTTTAACTACATGTATCTCAAATACATTACAAAATCACAGGAAGTTTTGACAATGGGGGGGGGGGGGGGGGGGGGGGGGGGGAGACGTAATGCATAGTATGAAGTAGATTCATTGTAAGAAAAATAAATTGTATTCATGATGAGGTACACTTTTCTGGCTCTTAAAGGAAATTTCCAGGCAGTTTTTTTTTCTTTTTTTTTTCATAACAATGATCAAACTCATTCCTTAATACCAAATCTATTAAACTGCCCCAACAGATTTTGAACAAGTATAAGTCTACTGTACTAGCAATACAGAGAATTAATTCATACAATGACTTTCAAATGTTCAATATCATTGTGTACTGTTAGAGGGAGAAAATCCATCATTGATTCATACAAGGCATGGAAACCAGACATAAATCAACTTCCTTGCTACTTGCCTTTGATGATTTGATGATTTAATTATATTTTTAACAATATTTTCCCTCCATTACGTTGATGACAAAAACAAGAATTGCCAGATACCCACATTTGTACAGCATAAAACATAAACTTAAACGTGAATACATTTCAATTACTAATCATGGTATTTACAAAATTGTGAACTACTTAATCTCAATCCTCCGATAGTGCACAATTAGAATATTTTTTCACAATGGAACAAAATACTTACATGTCCAGTTCAAATCTATACCTACAATGGTACAATGTATTTATTTAGCAGTGAATAGACTGAGGCAAAAAACACATTTATCTCCCGACATCTACAAGTATTTTCTTCCCTTACATTAACATATTGAGAAACAACTTTCAGTGTCAAGTCATGATGAAAAAAAAATACATGAAGAACAAATACTTTCCAGAATGACAAAGGGAATGACCATTACTCAACATGTATCAGGAATTTTCAAAATAAAATATTGGTTCCTGTTTATAGAGCACTTGTTATGCTTTATGACACTTCTCTTTACCTGCATGTAGTAATACCTAGCAACAAAATATGTACTGCTCTGGTTAGATGGGTACGATTTATGGTACCTTACTTCTATTGCAACAAGATCTTTCCCACGTATGTGTAAAAGCAATTGTTCATCTTGCTTTAATAAAGCGGCCTCTAACAGATGCCCCCCATCTTTTCTTTCACAAAGAATTAATTTTTCTACTTTCCGTTTACCAGAAGACTGTTCGCGGATATACTTAGCTCCTTTGCAGATAATGCAATGGACTGGCAATACATGCGGCTTATCAAAGTCATGGCTGGTAGAGGGTTGATTTTCATGGGATACTCTCGACCGCAGCAGTCTCTTGGGTGCAGGGGCATCCTCACTTGCTGACACTTCCTCTGGATCTTCTGTAGATGTCTTCTCAGCATCTGTGGGTTTAACAAGAAAAAGAGAAGGAAGAAAGGAACAGACAGGGGAAAAAATACTGATTAAAACCAATTTTATCAAAATCATTCTGATTTTCTGAATATATAACTCAATGTGGTGTTGGTGTTGAAAGTGTGGATCAAGCTGCTGAACCGAGCTCCAACACTGACTGTACTTGAGAAATAGCTCAATACGGAGTGATGTCACGCCTTTTATGTGATCCACTCACGATTTCAAGCGAAAAGGCTATACAACGAAAGTGAAATCAGTGAGAAATGGCATTCAAATTTCATCAAACAGGATGTAAAATCTAAAATCGTATTTTCAAATCAAAAGAGAAAATGTTATTAATCTTTAGAAAATAGACACATATATAGCTCTGATGATTTGTAAAACATTTTGACTGTAAATTGGATTTCGCTTAACTTTGCTGTGACGTTATCATTTGGTTCATGATCTTAAGATCACCAACACCAACACCGAACTTCAAATCACAAATTTCCCAATCTCTAGGCGATTTGTGTTGGGGAATAGGGAAATAACAAATAAATCGTCAAAGCGAACCATGATACTCGGTTCAGCAGACAACATTCAACAACATATTTTCGAGGTCAATTCCAACACCAGCCTCATTTCAAGTTCAGTGTTGTGGCTTTTGACACTGAACTTGAAATCGCCAGTAGATCTAAATGTGTAGATGCAGAACAATTATTGCACAATTGCACCTACCGGTGTCTTCCTTTGCACTGCCTCACACACGCACAGATCAAACACTCTCCTTCTCTTCTTTGTCTTTGTACTGTACTGTTTAAATTATTTTAGCAGCATTTAATCATTGTTTATTACCTCTCTTCTTCTGAAATCTTGTCAATGCTCTACTGATTGTCGTTACGTTGCAAAAGTGTCGGTAACATTCAGCATGATATCCTCGAAGCCGAGTATGGTGCTCCCTAGTAAAAGAAAATGTGAGAGATGTAGACTAATAAATAATTTCTATTAAAGTTCAATCTGCTAAAATACAAGAACTGCTGGACCTAGTTTAAGTAGTTAGGCCTATGTAAATGGCTTAATTTCTTGACACAAGCAAGAGTCAAGAATTAGACTATTTTATAATTTATCTGTAGACGAAAAAAAGTAGAGGGTCTAGACAGTAGTAGTAGGGACAGGGTCTAGTAGTAGAAGATCTAGACCTAGAAAATCTATCCTGTAATCCAGGACCATAGACATAGTAGATGAGAGGTCTAGATCTAGTCTGTTCTCTACTACTCTAGACCAAATTTGTAATTTCTGCTCTTTTTTCAAGTGCAATTTTTATTTCGGGGAAAATGTGAACACTTTTCATTTCATGCAGGCCTAGTCTAGATATCTAGATCTTTACCAATATATTAGGTGATAACTTACCTGCTTGTTGTCGATGACTGAAGACCGACTTGTCCCACACCTTCACTTTCGTGTACGTGTTCTTGCAACTTCTCTGCAACTTCACTTTCTAAACTCTCTTCCACGATTACCCACTTAGCTGCACACTCCTTACACTTTTGATAGCTTTTATCACTAAATGGTATAATCTTGCTCTGAGTATCGATGACATGTATGGAACAGAAAGCGGATTCACCAGCCTCAGAATTGTCCGTCTCACTGGCATCAAACGACTCAGAAGTCGCCATAGTACACAGTGAAAGTCGCAGTGCACAGTGAAAGTCGCATAGGCGTGCGCATAAAACAAAGAATATGATTGGCCAAAAGCCAGTCACTCCACACATCATGCTATCAGCAACGTATTGTGATTGGTCATTCTTACCGTAGAAAGTGAAAAATTGTCTCAAATTTGTTTTTTGTTTTTTGATATTTTCAGAAAATGTGCAAGTTTTGTTAATGACGAGTTTCAGATGTGACTGTAATAAATATTTTTACACATGTTGACCAAAATACAGCTAGATACAAATTTGAGGCACGAGATGAAAAGAAAATGCACCTCGGCCCGCGGTCTACTTGTAATTACCCTTAGAAAGGATCATGCCAACCCTGATAATCCCTTTTTAATCTTATAGGTGATTATATTGTAATAAATGGAACCCATAGATTGGTGGTAGCCCTGGTCGAGTTTCTTCTGTGAAATTTTTTGTTTTTCTCTATATTTTCATGGTATTTAATGCTAAGAAAATTAGAAAAAATGGATAATAAGACAAAATGTATATTCTAAGGCTACAAACTTTGAACAAAAGATAGTTGAAACAAATATTCAGAGTTAAAAATAGTCAAAGAAACCATATATTCTGTGCTGATGTTTTTTCACTATCTTTGGTGGAAGTCTTTCACAAATTATTATATGGTCAGGAATGAATTTTACAGAATGTTCAACCCCTTGACAACTAAATTCTCTCATCTTCATAGGCTTTACACAGAGATCACCCGGTTCCAGCAGGCAATGGGTTAAATACAGTCAAGGTGTTATCACAGCTAGGGAAGACTCTTGACAACCAGAGATCATTGAAACATTTTGAAGTCCTGTTGACAATCCCCCAAATATTAATGTTCACTATAATAATATCTTTTCCCTCTGTCATACTGGCATTATACAGTATATAATTAACAAAATGTAGAAACCAAAAAGACACACTCCAATACTGCTGTAAGTAGAACAAATATCTTACTTCCATCTCTCACCATGTTTCTTTTTCTTTATTCAATGTTCCGTTGTAAATTAGCCCTCATTATTGCAAAATTATGTTATGCACAAGAAAATATTTGTTAAATGTCAATACATTGAATTTTTTGATGAGGTTATATCACTCATAATATATATATATATATATATCTTTATTCACGTGGAAGCGCGGTTCAGTTTAACAGGCAGAGCATTATTGCACATTAGGAGAAAAGATAACAGTCTATGAAAGGACAAAAGAGAAGGGTGTTTTTATTAGAGAGCTGCCCATTCTAAAGGTTAATGTCTCTAAGAGATAGAAGGCCATTATATGCTTCCTCCGTGCATCCATGCATTCTCTGTCTCTCTGTCCTAGATGCTTTCAAGCTTAAAATAGCAAACGACAGTGTCTGCCTGCCCTTCGTCTTGTCACCATGCTGTGAGCAACCCCGCCGCTTCTCTCTCGCTACATTTAAATTCCAAAATCTAGTTCTGTCCCGCAGGTGATTGCCAGGCTTGTCCTTCTGTTCATATTAGGTAACCTGGTAATTATCTCGGGGGATTGACTGCCACTAACCCTCCTTAACCCTCATCTCTATTGTCTTTTAAAGAATATTTGATTATATTCACTATCCCATGCTGGTCATCAAACGAGGAATACATTGGTTATATATATAGATGTATTATGATGTTGCATCTAAGAATACAATTTGTCATATGCCATAATTTAGATACAATATGGCTCATCTCTAGGATTCTCTTCACTAGTCTGAAAAATACCAGACAAACCGGACAAAAAAAGATTTCACATTATTTTTGTGCCTCTTCGTTCTACACAATGACAATGGAGGAAACAGAGAAACATTGGATATAAAGTATAAATATGACTACATGAATGATATTATTGCATGGTATTAAATTTGCTAATCATTGTACATATTAACTGTCAAGGAAATAAGAAAATCTGGCAGTGCTCTCTCTCTCTCTCTCTCTCTCTCTCTCGCCCTCCCCACTCTACATTGTAACTAAAAATCAAGCCACTCTGTGAAATGTACATGATCTATTTGGCAAGGGATAAGAACGTGCATGTGCAGGAGGTGGGGGGGGGGGGGGGGGGTTACCATTTGCCTGTTCATTGTAGTTGTGATTGATTTATATATTGTACACCACTTTTAACAAATAAAAAATGGAATGTTTATAACATTATACAGATGTAATGGCTAGACAATGAATAAAATGAAGACTTGGGTGGGGGTGGGGTGGGGGAGGGGGGGGGGGGCTTTAACCTCATGTACCCTTAAATCATAATGCTTTTGTGTGAAATAAATCAGGTAATATATATGATTAATTCAATACCACTAAACCCACATAAGAAAGCACAACTACTTTTACTGATTGTTTTCCTTTTGTTTCTGTTACTTTCACTTTCAGAAACTCAGCATCTTAAGTCCTTACCTCCCCATGGTTAGAATAGAGCAATGTCTTTCAGTAAGCATGCACCACCTCTTGAGAGGCAAAGCGTTAATGAAGTGTAGATATTGAGTGAGAAAGATAAGTCCTTGTATTCAGAGCTGAGTGTACTTGATAATATGATGGAAAGTATATAGATTTTTACTTCCTTGTTGTGTGATATTCTACTCATACACTATGCTAACCTTGGTGTTAAGGTATGGGTTTAGAGTGCATTAGAAGATGTACTGTGAAGTATCAAAATGCAAGCCAGACGTATTTGATGATGTATTTTGTCCTTTATGTCTCCTCTTGATATTCAAAGTTAAACAATAATTTGTCAAAGAATAAAATACATATTTGGTCTTCAAGAAAAGATGAACACAGTAACACATGAAAGAGGCATCATACATTCCTGTCAGTGATATAAAATTATTACATTATAAACATCACATGAACACAAATTAACAGCAGACAACTCAATTTTAATGCTTAAAACTTGAAAAAATAATGCATATCATTACCAAAAAAAAAAGAAGGTAACTTAAGAAATAAATGTACATAATCCTTATTATCTGATGAGAGTTTTGAACCCCAAACCTCCCAGGTGCGCAAGACCACTGCTCTACCCTATCACTGAGCCATTAAGCTTCCTCATTAATAATTTCTTTTCATATCATGCATAATAATGTGCAGTTACAGAATTTAAAAAAAGAAGACATAATATTTTATTATTGTATTGTGTGATAGTGTAACTGCAATCTATTCTTGCTGACTCACAATCGTATTTCCTTGTAGAATGTGGCTTGACCTGAGATGTCTAACCTGATTTCCTATCTGAATAAGTTGTCATTTCAGCAAGAAGGAACTATCAGATTCTTGGTGCAAATCATGAGATAATAAAATTAACCAGTGACCTCTTATTAGTTAAGGAACTTTTTCACTTCTTTTGTTTAGCATTCATTTTATTTAATTTCATTTAATTTTCATTTCTCTGTAATCAAAATTAATGTATAATGTTGTCAACTGACTTGTCTCATAGCCTGCCCCCCCCCCCCCACTCTCTCTCTCTCTCTCTCTCTCTCTCTCTCTCTCTCTCTCTCTCTCTCTCTCTCAGTCTCTGTCTTTTCTCTCTCTTTCCTTCCTTCCCTCCCTCCCTCTGCCACCTCCCCTCTCTACCCATATTTCCCCCTCTTTTTCTCTCTATCTCTCCCTTTTCTGTTTCAAAAATCTAAATGGAGAGTAGATGCATATTCACACTCTGACTTTCCTAGATATGAATGTCTGGCAGCATCAATAATGATGAGTTACATGTAGGAATAAGAGTGTGATTCTCATGACTCAAGCTTTGCTAATTAATTAGCAGAGTGATTTCAGCTTTTAGTGCTTGTAATATGAGCATTCATCCTGTGTCAATACAGGACAGGAAGAGCAATGTTTTGAGACTGAGACGCAGACAAGATACAAGAGGTATCCACTTATCTTTATGGGTACAATATTAGCTGTGATCCAAACATGATATACCTTGATGCTTTATACCCTCTGTTAAGCATGGTGCTCCAAACTTGCTGTTTCATGAGAAGTTAGTACAGTCAAACCTTTCATAGAAGCCTCCTTGAAGACCACCTGTCTATAATGGTCACCTATAATGCCGTCCTTTACAGCTCTAGGAATTAGAACATTTTGTAGAACCTGTTTAGAAAGACCATATTTGTGTACAGTTGCCCTGTTTGGTTCAGTTAGCATGATCAGATTGATTTGATAAACAGGGTTGATTGATAAGTAATATCTTGTTTATAAAAACATCGGAAAAGATCAAGGACATTGTTGAATCCTTGTAAAGTACATGGTATGGACCCTCTAGCTTCCAGAAGACAAACATTAATTTGAAGGCACCATGATGGATACCATTTAAACTGACATCTTATGCCTAAAACCCACAAGTAACTTATCTTTCATAAAATACTCTTAAATACTACCACACACACAGTGCTAAGCAAAGTCGTGATTTGATAGAAGCCTTGTAAACTGTCATGTTGGGCAATGAACTTTTCTTACTCCCTCTTCAGACAAAAAGTGAGCGAGGGTTTGAAGGAAGCTCAATGCCAGAATCAAATATCCATTCATGTTGTAAACATGCATTGATTCTAACATGAACATGTTCAAGTGTTTTGTGCCTTACAAAGGAAGAGTCTTGAGTCTGTAATCGTCTGAGGAAAGGAGAGAGGACAGTAAATTTATTAGAACCCAGGGAAATCACAAGAACCTGTAAAATGGCTCAATTACAAATAAGCTGCAAGGGCTAGAGGCTGTTTGTATGTATCCAAACCACTATGCTGTGGTGGATTATAACTACCAATAATCATTCATGTAAAATGTTTTCTTTTGTCTCCACTAAAAAGATATTTGTGGTTAAAAACATGAGCTGTGGTTGTGGTGATGAGTTTCATAGTCTACAAAGGCTAATAATTCACACATGAAGATATTAGTGTTGCTCTCAATAACAGACTGTAATCTCAAGCTATAGAGCCATGTATCAAGCAGACAAGAGGAACAGAGAGAGAAGTAATTAAAGCATCACAAATGGTTTGATATAAGGAGAAATGAATAAAGAGAACCTGCAGGACTAGATGGACACAGTCATTCTGGGCCCTGTTTGTAACACACCTGTACCAGTTAACAACGAACTTCCATTTTTGTGGACAATAAGTCAATTCAAATTCAAAATGCTAAATTTTTATGACAAATCTGCTCTCATCCAATCAAATTCCATGATTTCAGTAGATTATAATAGTTAT